GAGTCTGTAACAAAACGCTCTATGAGCAGAGTTTATTCAGTTTATTCTCTGCTCAGCTCATTTTCTGACTCCAATTTAGATTCTTTGAAGGGCAAGTGGTTTAGATTCTTTGAAGGGCAAGTGGGAGATGGACTTGGAGGAATCCATATCAGACACAGTTTGGCAAAAAATTATTCAAAATATATATTCGTCCTCAATATGTGTGAAACATGTTATAGTTCAATTCAAGGTAGTACATCGTCTACACTGGTGTAAGGACAGTTGTGCAAATTTAAAAAGGACTTGGATCCGACATGTGATCGCTGTAAACAATCTCCTGCCACACTTCTGCACACATTCTGGTCCTATCCAAAGCTACATGGATACTGGCAAGGCATCTTTGACATCTTTTCAGGACTATTTGGACGAACTGTTCATCCATCACTACTCATCTCTCTCTTTGGGGTGGCTCCAGCAGAGGCTTCCCTCAGTGAACATCAGAGGATGGTGTTAGCTTTCTGCTCTCTACTGGCTAGAAGACTTATTCTTCTTCGATGGAAGGATCCACATCCCCCAGAATATGGTCAGTGGTTAAGAGAAGTTATGTCTTACATTCATTTAGAGAAGATTAGGTATACTGTTAGGGGATCTGTAAACAAATTCTTTGACATTTGGCAGCCATTTATATCTTATGTAGAAAAAATTTAGGCAGATAATTTTGTGTAAAGGTTAAACAATGGTTTTTTTTGTACACAAACCTGTACCTTGTATTGAATGAGGTATGAATACTAGATGTACTTATATTATGTAGTAGATCCGGTATAGGAGGGGTGGGATGGGAGGGATTTTGGGGGTGTGTGTTTTGTTTTGTGTTTTTGTTAGTTTGTTCTTTTCTGTTGTTAAAAAATGTAATAATAATGTATAATAATGTAATAAAAAGACCCTGATCGATAAATAAATAAATAAATAACAGAATGCAAATAAATAAATAAATAAATAAATAACTGTAAACTCCTGTTGAATATCCAGAAAGCTCTATAATTCTGCCTCAAACTGTTCCTTCTAAAAAGCTGCTCTGTCTCTTTACCAGAGTTCGGCTCCAACAGTTTATTTCCTGGTTCCTCCCCTTTAACAGATCTGACAGCTCAAACTGACACCAGGAAGTAAAAGTGAAGCAAATAAAAACTGGGCTCGGCTTCTTGTGGAACACATTTAGTTGTTTTGTTTCCAGTTCTTTAGAGGTGAAACTAGCAGCAAGAAACCAAATGGATTCMAGAAAGTTCTCCTGTTCCATCTGTTCGTGCCTCCTGAAGGATCCGGTGACTATTCCCTGTGGACACAACTACTGTATGAGCTGTATTAAAGAGTTCTGGGATGGAGAGGATCAAGGAGAAACTACAGCTGCCCTCAGTGCAGGAAGGACTTTGAACCAAGGCCTGTTGGTGGGGACATGTCCACACCAGTCCTTCAGAAAGTTACGCCCTTGGCTGGAGCTGAATATGTGTCCTGTGATGAGAGGAAACTGAAAGCTGTCAAGTCCTGTCTCAACTGTTTGGTCTCTTATTGTGAAAATCACCTCAAACCTCACTACAGTCTTGATCAATTAAAGAAACACCAGCTGGTGGAGCCGTCCAAGAAGCTCCAGGAGAACATCTGCCCTCGTCATGATGAGGTGATGAAGATCTTCTGTCATACTGATCAGCAGTGTATCTGTTATCTCTGCTTAATGGACCAACATAAAGTACATGAAACAGTCTCAGCTGCAGCAGGAAGAGCTGAGAAGCAGAAGGAGCTGGAGGCCAGTCGACAACAAATCCAGCAGAGAATCCAGGAGCGACAGAAAGATGTGAAGCTGCTCCAACAGGAGGTGGAGGCCATCAATGTCTCTGCTGATMAAACAGTGGAGGACAGTGAGGCGATCTTCACTCAGCTGATCCGTCTCATCCAGAAAAGAAGCTCTGATGTGAAGCAGCAGCTCAGATCCCAGCAGGAAACTGAAGTGAGTCGAGTCAAAGAGCTTCAGGAGAAGCGTTAGCAGGAGATGACTGAGCTGAAGAGGAAAAATGGCCAGCTGGAGCAGCTCCCACACAAGCAGTTTCTCCACAACTACCCCTCAGTGTCAGCACTCAGTGASTCTCCACACTCATCCAGCATCAAGACTCGTCCTCTCACATACTTTGAGGACGTGACAGCAGCTGTGGAGGAGCTCAGAGACAAACTGCAGGACGTCCTGAGGGACACCTGGACAAACATCTCACTGAGAGTCCCTCAAGTCCACGTTCTGCTGTCACAACCAGAACCAAAGAGCAGAGATGGGTTCTTAAAATATTCACAAGAAATCACTCTGGATCCAAACACACCTCACAGAGTGCTGTTATTATCTGATGGAAACAGAAAAGCTACATTTATAGAACAACAACAGTCTTATCCTGATCCAGACAGATCCACTTATTACAGTCAGGTTCTGAGCAGAGAGAGTCTGAGCGGACATTGTAACTGGGAGGTGGAGTGGAGCGGGAGATGGGTTTATGTAGCAGTTTCATACAAGAATATCAGCAGAGCAGGAGATTCGCATGAATGTAGATTTGGATTCAACAACAAATCCTGGGCCTTAGAATGTAACTCAAACAGTTATGGATTTTAGTACAAAACCCATAACCCCTAACCTGCTCTGTGGTCCAGTACTCCAGTCTCAGGTCCTGGTTCCTCCAGAATCAGAGTGTACCTGGACCGCAGAGCAGGTGCTCTGTCCTTCTACAGTGTCTCTGAAACCATGACCCTCCTCCACAGAGTCCAGACCACCTTCACTCAGCCGCTCCACGCCGGAGTTTGGGTTTCTTACAGATCTTCAGCTGAGTTCATGAAACTGAAATAGTCCAAATCTACTTGAAGTTCTGTTGGTCAGAATCTGTTCTGTTTTACAGTTTTTGGTCTCTTATTATTGGATAATCTGTCTGCTGCACAGAAATTATACAAACCAAACATGGATTAAAAAAAGGACAAACTGTTAAACAGTCCAAACTGATTGTTGCAGYAAAAAGAAATATAAAACTCACAGGTGGGCTTTTTTATTGTTTTCAGATTTATTTTAGTAAAAATGTGCAAATTGAAAATGTTAAAAACATTTTTAAATGATAAATGTTTTTTGTGAGAGCTGAAGATCACAATCTGTTGAAGCCAATAGGACCACATCATCCGCAAAAAGCAGAGATGTGATCCTAAGGTCACCAAAACAGATCCTCTCAACACCTTGGCTGCACCTGCTAATTCTGTCCATGAAAGTTATGAACAGAATCGGTGACAAAAAGCAACCAGTCCATCTCACTGGAATGTATGGATGGAAATGTTTTCGTCACTAATTATTCATTCATAGTTTCAGAAAAACTGCAGACACAAAATGATTTTGAGAGATTGAAGAAAAACTGAAATTTATTTTAAAAATGTGTCAAAAATCACAAAATTCAGTTTAAAATGTTCTGGGATGAGAGAAACCCTCACTGTAAATATTTAACTTTACAAAAGTTTCCGATTCAGTTTTTATTGTTTGTTCATTTAGTTTATAAATCCAAACTCAGATTTTATGTTTTTAATGTTTTGTGTACTTGATAAAATCACACTGAGTTGCTTTATGTATGAAAAGTAGTGTATAAATAAAGGTTGGTTTGATTTAAAACAACTAATATAATGTATTATATAAAATAATTTCTGATCAGCTGGAACAGTTTAGGTAATAAATCTGGGTTTAATCAGTTGTTGGTAAATTTGTAATTCTTTGATTTTACTGCAAAAAACTGCTCTTATTTTTTCATGTTTAATTTTCTGATTGTTTTTGATTTTTGTTATTTTTTTATTTGATGTGTTTAAATACTGAGAATAACAATGTTACTAAAAACTTAATGTAAAGCATATAAAGATTATTAGTGGTTATTTATTTTATCAGTGGTTATTTCCCACCACCATGTTTTCCTCCAATGTTTTTCATTGTTTTTTGTTTACAATTTGAATAGAACGACTTGTCAAAACAGGCATTCACACACACACACACACACACACACACACACACACACACACACACACACACACACACACTTTAAAGAAATA